ATTGTTTTCAGGGTAGGAGTTGAAACATTTATGTCCAGGATGCGAGGGGTCTGTAAATATTTTCATAGCCCTCTTTTTGACTCGTGCAGTATACAGGTCCTCAACGGAAGGCAGGTTGGTAGCCATTGTTTTTTCTGCAATTCTAATTATCCTCTGAAGTCTGTGTCTGTCTTGTTGGGTTGGAGAACCAAACCAGATAGTTATAGAGGTGCAGATGACAGACTCAGTAATTCCTCTGTAGAACTTTATCAGTAGCTCCTTGGGCAATTTGAGCTTTTTGAGTTGGTGCAGAAAGAAAATTCTTTGTTGTGCTTTTTTGACGACATTTTTGATGTTAGCTGTCCATTTTAGATCTTGCGATATGGTAGAACCTAGAAATTTGAAGGTCTCTATTGTTGATACTGTGCTGTCTAGTATTGTGAGTAGGTGGAAGTATGGAAGGGTTTCTCCTAAAGTCTACCACCATTTCTATGGTTTTGAGTGTGTTCAGTTCCAGATTGTTCCGGTCGCACCACAAGGCTAGTTGTTCAACCTCCCATCTGTATGCGGATTCATCATTGTCTTGAATGAGACCAATCACTGTTGTGTCATCTGCGAACTTCAGTAGTTTAACAGATGGATCATTAGAGATGCAGTGGTATACAGAGAGAAGTGGGGAGAGCACACAGCCTCGGGGGGGGGGCCTGTGCTAATTGTACAGGTATCTGATATGATTCTGCTTAGCTTAACCTGCTGCTTCCTGTCTGTTAGAAAGCTTATGATCCACTTACAAGTGTGTTCAGGTACCTGTAGCTGGTTTAGCTTAGTTAGAAGAGTGTCTGGAATGATGGTATTGAATGCTGAACTAAAGTCTACAAAGAGGACCCTTGCGTAGGTCTTTGGTGATTCAAGATATTGTAGGATGTAGTGAAGAGCCATATTAACAGCATCATCTGTTGATGTATTTGCTCGGTATGCAAATTGCAAGGGATCTAACAACGGATCCGTGATGGTTTTCAAGTAGGACAGCATTAGCCTTTCAAAGGTTTTCATGACTACAGATGTTAGGGCAACTGGTCTGTAGTCATTCAGTTCCCTGATGGTGGGCTTCTTTGGCACTGGGTTGATAGTAGAGTGTTTGAAGCAAGAAGGAATATAGCACATCTCTAGTGATTTTTTGAAGATTTGGGTGAAGATGGGGGCCAAATGGTCAGCACAGACTTTTAAGCAAGAAGGAGTTATCTTGTCTAGGCTTGGAGCTTTTCCTGGCTTTTGTCTGCAAAATAGCTCTTGCACTTCCTTTTCTGTGATCACTAGGGGTTGTGAGCCCAATGGGATGGGGTCAGTTGTAGGAGGCTTGGCTGTTATTGGTGTGTCTGAGATGGGGGTTGTGGAGATAGGTGGCTGTAGTTTCCTTTCAAACCTGCAGTAAAACACATTCAGGTCATTTGCCAGTTGTTGATTTCTTTCAGCCTGGGAAGGAGATTTGCTGTAGCCGGTGATATTTTTAAGAGTTTTCCACATGTTTGCTGGTTCATTTGTTGAGAACTGATTCTTTAGCTTTTCAGAGTAGCTTCTTTTTGCTGCTCTGATCTCCCTTGTTAATACATTTCTGGCCTGATTGTACAGCATTTTATCACCTTTTCTGTAGGCTTCCTATCTGGAACGATGTAGCTGCTTAAGTTTAGCTGTGAACCAAGGTTTGTTGTTACTGTATATTCGCAAGTTCCTGGTCGGTACACATAGGTCTTCACAGAAGCTGACATATGATGTTACAGTATCTGTGAGTTCATCCAGGTCTGCAGAGGTATCTTCAAAAATATTCCAATCAGTGCAGTCAAAATCATCTATCAAATCTATTTTATCACTCAATCTATTTTCCCTATCTGTAGCTAGCTAGCTAACTGTCAGGGGAACAGGGGAACAGAAAGAAGAGGGGAACAACCTATTCTCCAAAGCACCTAAGGGCAAGACAAGAAGCAATAGATGGAAACTTATGAAAGAGAGATCCAACCTAGAACTAAGAAGAAATTTCTTGACAGTGAGAACAGTTAATCAGTGGTACCAAAAATTGTGGGTGCTTCATCACTGGAGGCTCTTAAGAAGAGATTGGATGATCATTTGTCTGGAATGGTGTAGGGTCTTCTGCTTGGTCAGGATGTTGGCCTAGAAGACCTCCAAGATTCCTTCCAACTCTGGTATTCTGTATTCTATATTCTGTATTCTGTATTCTATCTATCTATCTATCTATCTATCTATCTATCTATCTATCTATCTATCATCTTTCTATCTAATATATTCTATCATATAGCTAAAATCCATCTAATCCAGTGGTCCCCAACCCCCGGTCCGCGGAGTACCTGGCACCGGGCCACGCAGCGGCCGGGGGACATGAACGCTGCAGCGCAAAGGCTCCTGGGCCGTGCGCAAAAGCTCCTGGGCCGTGCGCAATGGGCCGTGCGCAAAAGCTCCTGGGCCGTGCCCCTACCCCTGCGCGCGCTCAGCGGGCCGCGGCGATAAAAAGGTTGGGGACCACTGATCTAATCTATCTATTTGGAGCTCATACTAGATGAGGCCACCTCCTGCAGCTTCAATGAATAGGATTTATCTTGTCACGTGGCTGAATTCAGCCTTGGTCATGCCACCAAGAAGAGTCAACATAAACCCTGAAAGGTCCACTTCTAATAAAAATAACCACACTTCTCCCTCACTGTTTTGATGAAAGTCACACAAAAAGCTGATGTGATAGGAGGCATTTGAAAGTTGCTGGTGTTGATCAGTCAGTGATTTACATGTCCAGCTGTGCTTTTGATATGGATCCAAGAAACATGATCTACAAGGAAAGTTGCAACCCAGCTTTCAGAAGGATCATTGAAATATATTAAGCCCCTGATTATTCTATTTCTCTTCTATAAAATGCAAGGAAGAAGATGAACCTCACTTCTGCAGATTTTAGGGAGCATAGCTGGACTCTAAATGCCACTGCCTTCCCTTAGGATAAGGCAGGCTTCATTCCAGGGGTGAAATCTAGCAGGTTCTGGCAGGTTCTGGAGAACCGGTAACGGAAATTTTGAGTAGTTCGGAGAACCGGCAAATACCACCTCTAGCTGGCCCCAGAGTGGGGTGGGAGTGGAGATTTTGCAATATCCTTCCCCCAGGAGTGGGGAGGGAATGGGGATTTTGCAGTATCCTTCCCCTGGAGTGGGGTGGGAATGGAGATTTTGCAGTATCCTTCCCCTGCCATGTTCATCAAGCCACACCCACCAAGCCACGCCCACAGAACTGGTAGTAAAAAAAAATTGGATTTCACCACTGCTTCATTCCTCGTAGTAAGCCATCTTATGTTTGTTTAGCTATGGCTTGGCATTTATCTGAATCTAGCCACTATGCTTTAAAAATTAGGGTTCCTGACTTACCATGTCGGGTGATCCCAACCAAAGAATGGTGTCCCATGTATGTATAAAGGGTTGGGGTTTTAATCATCCCAATGGCAGCTACTATTTTGACACTGATGACCTGTCCCCTGTTGTGTGTGTGTGGGGGGGATGCTTTATTTTATTTTTCACTATTTTATTATTTTAAAATGTTTTAAATTTTTTAACAGTAATATATGTTTTGAATTGGAAGCAGCCCAGAGTTATTTACTGAGATGAGCGGCTATAGAAATCAAACAAACAACAAATAAAGAAATAAAATTGGAGATGAGAATGTTCTGTCTGCTGATGAACTCCTGATCGAAAGAAGAGACAGAAATTGAACAAATTAATAAAATGCACACTGTAAAGGAGGCATCCCACATGGATGTCAATAAGGTTCCATGAAAATCCACAATACCGTGATAAATTACAGTGATCGCCCCTAATAAAGTATGTTTATGAAAGTCCCAATTCTGATCTGGGCTCCTTTCACCTCCTGCCAAGATGTGACCAGAGGTTCTCACAGGGAGGCAGGACCGTCAATACAGTGACTGCAAGATAGATATTATCCTGCAGTACAGTGCAACTGATCTTCGACTTACAACCACAATTGAGCCCAAAATTTCTCTTGCTATGTGAGACAATTGTTAAGTGAGCTTTGCCCCATTTTATGACCTTTCTTACCACAGTTGTTAAGTGAATCACTGCAGCAGTTAAGTTAGTACCAGTTGTTATATGAATCTAGCTTCTCCACTGACTTTGTCAGAAAGTCACAATGTCACGTTCCGGTGTCTTGCGTTAAAAAAAGCCAGCAACACAGGTTGATGTTAGAATTGTTTTTTCTGGAAACATGGACCCAACACAAAGCAACCATCCAAAAGGAATTAAAGTTTGTGCTACGGTGGTTAGTTCACCCACCCCTTATATTGTGCTCCACCTCCCTTGTGTGTACACCCTTCCCCTCTTACTGACTGCTTGCCACTAATACGGCCGCTGCAGTCCGGCCACGCTCCTAGCGGCCCATCCTGTCTTATCCCGCTCAGTTTCCTGCTTCCACCCATGATTGGACGATCAGCTGTTTCCCTCCGCGAGTAGCCGGGTACAGTCTGAGCCCCGCTAGCCAGGCAGCAGTCCCAGGAGAATGTGATGCGGGCCATGGGCGTGTGTCTGGAACGCCGCCTTAGGTGGCAGTGGCCCCTTCCCATCAGGATGGCAGGGCGGCGTGGCTGCTGATGCCCGTGCACAAGCATCCCAGCTGTCCACTCCTCCCCCACCTGAATGGTGGCCCCGAGCCATCTGGTGGTCCGGGACCGACACACAAAAGGTGATCACATGACTTCAAGACACTGTGACCATCATAAATATCAGCCAGTTGCCAAGAGGTCAAATTTTGATCCCGTTGACCATGGAGATGCTGCAATGTTCATAAGTGTGAACAAAGGATATAAGTCACTTTTTTCAGTGCCGTTGTAACTTCAAACAGTCATTGAATGGAAGGTTGTAAGACAAGGACTATCTGTAGCAAAGATTCACCTGCAATTTCTGGAAATGTGAATAAGATTATGAGACCGATAATTCCATGCTTTTGTTTAATTCACACATTACCTTGGAATCTTGAAGTGATCAAGCTAGGCAAACGAAGGCTGTTGTGAGAATAATCTGGGAAAGGAAAATGAGCGCATCATTTTGGGTTCTTTTGGGAGCAAAACAGGAAAATGGGGACAAACACAATGGGCAAAAGGCCATGAGAACTCTCCTGAGTCAGTTTCTCATGGCTATATATAGGGATTCCTCCTTTAAATTTTTATTTACTTATTGGTTCGATTTATATGCCGCCCTTCTCCGGAGACTCAGGGCGGCTTACAATGCGTTAAGCAATAGCCTTCATACTTTTGTATATATTTATACAAAGTCAGCTTATTGCCCCCACAAACTGGGTCCTCAGTTTATCTACCTTAGAAAGGATGGAAGGCTGAGTCAACCTTGAGCCTTGGAGAGATTCGAACCAGCAGTAATTGCAGCCACCTGGTGTTAATCACAATGCTATCAGTCTGCTGAGCCACCGGGCCCCTATAAATATAACACTCTGGCTCACCCACAATATCCCAATTTTGTTAAGGTTTGGATATAAAGACATATTCATAATAAAATCATATGTTGTTTCCCCCAAATGACTCAGTTACACAAAGACAGACTACTGTTGTTGAATTCACCATTGTCTCATTCCCATGATTCCAGAAAACAAACTTTGGGGTGGGGCAGATGTTTTGAGCTTACATTTTCTGGATTGATGGAGAGGTCACCACAGTGATCACAGGACAGCCATTTCATCTGAATTGACCCAACATAAAACTTAAGTAGAATCACAGGGCTGGAAGGGAGCTTGGGAGTCTTCTAGTCCAACCCTCTGCTCAAGGCAGGAGACCTTATTCCATCCCAGACAAATGGTTATCCAGTCTATTTTTGAAAGCCTCCAGTGATGGAGCACCCACAACTCACAACTCACAACCCACAACCCACAACTATTTCTTGTCTTGTCCTCTGGTGCCTGAACAATCTGGTTGCCACTCACTAACATTTTTGATTGGTTTGACAGCATCTCCTAATAACCAGGGTTTCACTTGTTTGTGGGAATGGACTGAAGAGTGCAGAGAAACTCAGGAAACTCCCTGCCTTTTTCAAATAGAAGTTCAGCACTACAGCTGTTGCACCAAAGTGGTTCTGATAAATTCCTGTTGGAGGAACCATCTTCATGCCAGTTCAATTGCTTAGCTCTCCATTAATGGAGAACCAGAGACTGGACAACTGGCATGTAAAGGTATCTCAGCTCACAGAAGGAGGTGTGGGAAGCATTTCAGAATAGACTCTCCCTAGTTTTCCAGAGAGTAAAAGGAAAGGAAAGAATAAATACTTTCAGTCTTATAAGATTCTGTTCATATGAACTTACGATAGAATTAGTGCTCATGATAGTATTCTCTCTTTCTCCATCTCTCTCCCTTTCCTATCTTTCTTTCTTTTTCTTTTAGAAAGGGCGTTGGTCCTACTTGATACACTCCTTCTTGTTGAGTAGAGACAGCATCCAGGAATGGGTTGTCCTCGTCTGATAGCCAACAGGACTGAGTCTGTCAAAGCTGCGAGGACACACCTAAACGAATGGTCCTCAGCTTTTGGCAAAGGCATAGACTCGACGTGCCATGGTCAGAAGCTCTCCCCCTGATGGACCGAGGACCAGCTGGTCACTAGGGTGGGGCTGGATGCTAACTCCACTCAATGAGAAGGAACGTATCAGGTAGGACCAACACCCCTTCTCCATTGTAGTGCAGAGAGCATCCAGGAATGGGACATACAAAAGCGGTCTTGTCCTTAAGGGTGGGTTGCAGCCTGGTCCAAGGTCCCCTCATCCGCATGTACCCTCTGGAGGACCCGCCTACCAAAGGCCGCCTCAGCCGAGGCATAGCTGTCCAATTTATATGGGGATGGGGAGGACCATGTAGCCGCATGGCAAACCTCTTCCAGAGAGGCTTGCGTTCCCCACACTGCACTTGTGGCCGCACTCCTTGTGGAGTGTGCCGTGATACTCTTGGGCAATGGAAGGGCCTGTATTTCATATGATTTGGCGATACACACCCGAATCCAGTGGCCCAGGGTCGATGGAGTGACCTTGGCTCCTAAGGAGGCTGGCTGGAATGACACAAAGAGCAACTCCGTCTTCCTGAAAGGGGAAGTCCGCCTGATATAAATTCGGAGTGCCCTCCTCACATCTAGCATGTGCCACTTCTTTTCCAGGGCATGCACTGGATTGGGGCAGAAGTTGGGCAAGAGAAGCTCCTGGGCCCTGTGGAACGATGAGTTCATCTTCGATATGAAGGAAGGGTCCAGACGCAATACCACCCTGTTAGGGTGGAAGACACAAAGATCATTCCTGATGGAGAGCACCGCCAACTCAGATATCTATCGAGCCAATGTAATGGCTACCAGAAAGGCCACCTTGCAGGTTAGGAAGCGCAATGTGGTCGCTCTTAGTGGTTCGAATGGGGCCTCGGTCAGCGCCTGGAATACCTTAGTGAGGTCCCAGTCAATGAACTACTGGAGGCCGAAGGTTTGTTGTGGACAGTTGGATGCTGAGCCAGGGAGTCCAGCCTTGTCATCGGTCCGCAAGTAAGGACTGATGACAAGGCAGCCACCCGGTGACAGACCGTGTTAGGCGAAAGACCCTTGTCAAGCCCCGCTTGAAGAAATTCCAGTATCTGCTTGTACAGTAAGTATTTGAACAATGGTTTAATGTAGCTGCAAGCTAGATCCGAGGAAACACCGAGCTCAAACAGTTCAAAGTCAGTGCTGAGAGCATCCGCCTCTCAGTGCTTTTTGTAGAGCCGTGCCACCTACCTGCCACACCCCCAATGATAATCTGGGCTTCTCTCATCTGTGGAACGCTTTCCTCTGAGCCACCCTCCTCTGCCTCGGTTTCATGACGGCATTCCTCAGCGATCTCATTTCCCTTCCCCCCTGCCTCCAACGCTCTCATTTCTCCCAGCCCTGGCCGCTTAACTTTGGTGCCACCGTCACCACACCCCGTGAAACTACAGGTTCGCTCAGCATTCAAGCATGTCCATTTCCTCCACCACTCCTCCTGGAGTGATTGTTAGTTTGCAACAACACGGCTCTGACAGCCACATCACTTGCATCTGCCTGAACTATGAATGGTTTCTGTTGGTTTGGGTGTTGTAGTATGGCTCATGGGCAAACTGTGCTTTCAACTCTTCAAAGGCCTTGTGACAATCAGGAGTCCATACTATACACTGACCTGGCCTTGGTTTTACGGTGATACCCCAAGTGCATAGGAGATTAGTAAGGGGTGATGCTATCTGGGCAAACACTGGGATAAACTGCCTATAAAAATTAGCAAAACCGAAGAAACTCTGCAGTTGTTTCCTCATCCCTGGGGCTGTTCGAATACTGTTGTAATCTTCTTGGGATCCATCCCCAACCTTTTTGAGATATCCTATACCCTAGATAATCCAGCTCGGTTCGGTGGAATTCACATTTCGATACCTTAACGAATAATTTGGCCGCTAGCAACTTCTCTAAAACCCAGCGTACCAATTGCGTATGCTCCTCCATAGTTTCAGTATAAATTAGGGTATCATCAGGATACACCAACACTCCCCAATACAAATATTCATGCAGGACCTCATTAATCAACTGCATGAATACCGCTGGGACGCCCTGCAAACCGAATGGCATAACCTGGAATTTATAACTATCGAGCAGACAATTAAAAGTGATTTTCCATTCATCACCTGGCTTAATACGGACTCTATAATATGCCTCCCATAAATCCAGTTTCGGGAAGATTTCACCTGTGGATAACGTGGCCAATAAATCCCTTATCAGCGGTAGTGGGTATAAAGGCTCCACACTTACTGCGTTTAGATCACGGAAATCAACACAGAGGCGGAGACCCCCATCCTTCTTCTCCCTAAAGAGGACTGGGGCAGCCATATGTGCTCTACTAGGTTGAAATTTTTTTTAAAATTTAATTTATATGCCGCCCTTCTCCGGAGACTCAGGGCGGCTTACAATGTGTTAAGCAATAGCCTTCATACTTTTGTATATTTATACAAAGTCAGCTTATTGCCCCCACAAACTGGGTCCTCATTTAACCTACCTTAGAAAGGATGGAAGGCTGAGTCAACCTTGAGCCTGGTGAGATTCAAACTTACAGTAATTGCAGACAGCTGGTGTTAATCACAATGCTTTTAGCCTGCTGAGCTACCAGGCCCTTGGAATAAACCCCCTGGCCAGGTTCTTATTTATATACCTATGTAGTTCCTCCAGCTCCTTCGGGATCATGGAATACATACGTGACTTTGGCTTTGGTATCTAGTCCCAGATACCAACTCTATGGCACAATCAGTTGACCGATGTGGTGGTAAGGATTCATATTCTATTTAGCTAAATACGTCTACCAAATCTGCGTATATTACTGAGCCTGAGTGGCGTAGGAGGCTAATGTCTCTTACTAAGGCAGCATTTAACATCCAGCTGCCTGAAATTACTGCGAGTTCAATTCTCACCAGGCTCAAGGTCGACTCAGCCTTCCATCCTTTCTAAGGTAGGTGAAATGAGGACCCAGTTTGTGGGGGCAATAAGCTGACTTTGTATAAAACATACAAAAGTATGAAGGCTATTGCTTAACACATTGTAAGCCGCCCTGAGTCTCCGGAGAAGGGCGGCATATAAAAATAAATAAATAAATAAATAAATAAATAAATAAATAAATAAATAAATAAATAAATAAATAAATAAAAATAGTATATGTTCGGGATTCCTGGAACTGGCGGCTTACTATCCTGAAAAGGTGCTTTCTGCCATCCTTCATCTGCTTGTTCAGCTGGTCTGCGGGCCGCCTCTAGAGTCCCAGGTGTTGGGTCCGACCTCCCTGTTTCCCGACTCGACAGAGGTCTGTCTGAGGCTTGTCTAGGTTGAGTTGGGCCTGATACTCCTCTTAAGCGAAATTCTCTCAAGCCGATATCTAAATCAATGGCCACTCGAAACCAATCAGTGAGATGTGGCGGCAGACCTCTGTAAATGCATGCTTGTCTCAAATCACGGTCCAAGCCTAGGTGGAACTGGTGCACTAGTAAACGTTCGGGCCATGACCTTCCTGCAATTTTCCGAAATTCCTTAACATAGTCCTTGGCAGGTCGGCCTCTCTGTTTCAGGGACACCAGTTCTCCCTCGGCCAGTTGCGTTCTGGACTCGTCCTCAAAGCGGGCCCTGAGAGCCTCCAAAAACATGCCAACATTCATTAATTCCCGGGCAACCTTATTTGGAACGATACCTTTGACGTCATCAGTCATTAGCAATAGCCCTTAGACTTATATACTGCTTCATAGTGCTTTACTACCCTCTCTAAGTGGTTTACAGAGTCAGCATCTTGCCTCCAACAACCTGGGTCCTCATTTTATTTTTACCACGGAAAGACAGAGGGCTGAGTCAACCTGGAGCTGGTGAGAATCGAATCAGCAGAATTAGCCTGCAATACTGCATTCTAACCAGTGCGCTACCAGGAATCATTATCATGAATTTGTAATATCATGAATGCAATTATTACGGTTTTATAAAAACTGAATTGAAAAATGTAGAAATGTAGATTTTAATCTGAATCAGGATTCAATGATGATAATAAACATGAGTTTCATGTTTAATGAATAAAAGAGATGATGATAATGATGATGATGATGATGATGATGATAATAATAATAATAATAATAATAATAATAATAATAATAATAATAATAATAATAATTGCAATGGTAGTACTAATAGTAATAGGTGTCTTGGGTGCAATCCCAAAATAACTGGTGCACAACTTGAAGTCCATCGTCACTGACAAAATCACCAACAGTCAATTGCAAAAGGCAGCTTTACTCAGAACAGCTTTCATTCTGTAATAATATTTATTTATTTATTATTATTTATTTATTAATTAGACTTCTATACCGCCCTTCTCCTGAAGGACTCAGGGCGGTGTACAGCCATATTAAAACAAATAGATTTACAAAATTTAAAACCAATTAAAATCAAATATATAAAATTTGGCTCAAAAATTAAAACATACATACACCCCTTATAAAATTCGTATTAGGCCAATCCGGCTTGCTGGAACAGAAGGGTCTTCAGGGCGTGGCGAAAGGTACGCAGGTCAGGGCTAAGACGAAGCTCTAGGGGGAGCTCATTCCAGAGGGCTGGTGCCCCCGCAAAGAAGGCTCTCCCCCTGGGTGTTGCCAGTCGACATTGTTTAGCCGACGGCACCCTGAGGATACTTTTTAACACTATCAAAAATCCACATTTGCCTATCCCAGGTCCTTGGGAAAGATTCAATAGGGGGCTCAAAATTCCAAATCCAGTCTGAACATCTGTCTGATTGTGCAACTAACAATAACAATAACAATAACAACAACAACTTCTGAAGGCAAGCTGCTCCACTGGTTAATTGTTGTCACTGTTAGGAAGTTTCTCCTTAATTCCAAGTTGCTTCTCTCCTTGATTAGTTTCCATGCATTGTTTCTTGTCTTGCATATCCAAGGAAAGAAAAGAAACTAAATATTTGCAGAATATGGGGGATGACTCCATTCATTATTATATTATTTAAAAATGAAACTCTCTATAGTTTTTCTATTTCCTTTCTTTTCTCCCCATTATTCACACAATATACCTTCTTTGTAACGTTGTTTTTCTTCCTCCTCTGCTATGTCTCTTTTGCCTCTTATAAATGTTCCGTTTATTCCAACAGTTCCTTTAATGAGTTGAGTCTTGCAAGTGCCTTCCTGTTCGCATTCATAAACCAATGGCTATTATCCATTGCTGATTGATATGGAGAACTCCAGAACTTTTTTCTTTTAGAATTCTATGCGTTTTAATTTTATTTATATTTCATATTTCTAAAGTACCCATCTCTTTCAAAGAGGGGCTCTTATATCCATGTTCTGTTTTCATCCTTCCTAAAAGGTAAAGGTTCCCCTTGCACATATGTGCTAGTTGTTCGTGACTCTATGGGGCAGTGCTCATCTCCGTTTCAAAGCCGCAGAGACAGCGCTGTCTGAAGACGTCTCTGTTAAGAAATGGTCGTTGCCTAACTAGTTGGCCAGGCAATATATAATCCAACATTGTATGTTTGTATTGTGTAAATGTATTATGTTGCTTTAAGAACATTGCTAAGTCATTTTGCATCCTGATTGGATGAGCTCTGTAGCCAATCTATTTAAGGAGAGCTTTATTGTGGTTAGTTGTGAATACTATACCATATTTTACCTGCTACTATGCTGTAACTATTTTTGATCTCTCTAAATGGTCATTGTTTGATCATGGTTTATTTATTACTGTTTCCTGATATTTATTGAACTGTTTTTATATTGTTCCTGAATGTTCCTTGTATTTTTCTACAAACTGATAAGAAGATTTTATATCCCTGGATTGATCTTGTATTGCACTTTATATGGCTAAGACTTGGATTGTTAAATCACTATGATTTCGCTTTACCCTCAAAGTAAAGTAATATAAAACCAGTTTGTCTGCATGTTATTCACAATCACTCTCAAAACCATTTCTGTGCATAAAAACATCTGATGGTACTCTGCTTTATGAACCATGACTCTGGTTGTGACACAACAATATCCTTAACAATCTCGGTGGTCATGTGGCCAGCATGATTAAACGCCAAAGGCGCACTTAATGCTGTCACTTTCCCACCAAAGGTGGCCCCTATTTTTTCTACTTACATTTTTTATGTGCTTTCGAACTGCTAGGTTGGCAGAAGCTGGGACAAGTAACGGGAGCTCACCCCGTTACGCGGCACTAGGGATTTGAACCGCTGAACTGCCAACCTTTCGATTGACAAGCTCAGCGTCTTAGCCACTGAGCCACCGCGTCCCTACATTCATCCTTCCTATTGTCTTGTTATTCTTTGGTTTCTTTTTATGGGCTATCCTCAAATCTACTTGTAGTCCTTCAAATTTCCAAGCCCATGCTTTGCCAAGTGATGTCTGCATTTCTGTTTGTTTCTTTATTTACAGAAAAGCACTTGACATATATACAACTCTAAGGATGCAAGTGCTCATAATCTTGTGATTCTCACTTGAGTGATCAACAGAATGCTCCTTGGCAAAGAAATAGACTTGTTCTCTGCCTCTTAAAAACACAAACACATAGAAATGTGCAAAGGTCAATTTTTGAAGCAGATGGCCAGGAGAAAGACGATGTAGAGGTAGGTGGATGTCTGTTTTAATTGCAGCCACTCTGAAATCTAATTTTCAAGGTTCAGAGAGGAATGCATTCTCAAATAAATTAACCCTTTGCACTAAGCCACGGTTTCACCATGCTTTGTGGAATAATTTCTCTTGAACTGCAATGTCTCTCACCATTGATCAGTATGGCTAAGGCTCACAAACTAAGAGTTCACCAATATTGGAAAAATCACCTGTTGTTTGTCCATAATGTCCATCTAGTGGACATTATCTGTAATGGACAATGCAACACATTTTGCAGATTTCTGAAGCACTAGACTAGGTGCTAAAAAGCTTGGGCCTTGAGATCTACATCCCCTCTTTGTGAGCACCCCAAAAGAATCTGGTTGGCCATTGAGAAAAACAACATGCTGGACTAAGAAGGCCCTTTTAAGTGTCTATGGAGCTTCTCAACCATCCAGATAACGGTTGTCCCAAAGGTGCTTTTTTCAAAAGGCAACTGGACTTTCCTGTTTTTTTCCTTTGGAAATGTTTTGCTTCTGAAGAACTGAAAAAGCTTCTTGGATAAGAAGGACAAAACTAACAAAGTCGTTATCTTTTGGGGGAAAAAACACTTTTGGAACAACCATTATCTGGATGGTTGAGAAGCTCCATAGACACTTAAAAGGGCCTTCTTAGTCCAACATGTTGTTTTTCTCAATGGCCAACCAGATTCTTTTGGGGTGCTCACAAAGAGGGGATGTAGATCTCTGCCTCTCCTGAAATTATTTTGAGATGCCTGGTTCCAATGTAGAGACAACATTGAGTCTTCAAAACGAATAGCCTTTGACGGAGCTGTCCTCTAGGAATTTAATCAATCTCCTTTTAAATCTACCTCAGTTAATAGCTTTTACCACATCTTTTGGGAATGAATTCCACTAGGTGATAAAATTTCCATTGGAGTTTCTATCGCAGATAACATCAACAAGTCTCTGTGCTTTATTTAACTCCCCAATCAATGAGGATTCTCAATGTTAAAAAAGAATTAGTTCTAGTTTATCTCCTGGCATTAGTCTTGGCTTTTTATCTAGTTGTTCAGTCCAGAAAGGAATCCAGGGCACAGAAAGAGTTAAAGGAAAAGCTTGTCAAAACTTTGCTATTGGTGCCACGAGCATCTCTCTCTCTCTCTCTCTCTCTCTCTCTCTCTCTCTCTCCCTCGCTCTTTCTCTCATGAAACAGCTGCGTGCAGAGAGAGAAATCTGTTCAAGTCTCTCCACTGTCTAAAGAAAGAAAAGAGAACCGGTGGGTAAAATCAGCTCTCAGTCAGCTGTCCGCAAGGCAGATGGATTTGTCGCCATTCCTTTGCTCTAAGGGAGAATGAGCAACCCAGCTGGAGAAGTGAGACAGCTAAGGAAGAAGCAGTACCAGTTTGTGCCTATCACACTGCCAAGTGTGAACATTCAGAAGGAACCCTACTTCATCTGTGCTCTCTCTGGAAAGTCACATCTTCTGGGTCTAGTAAGCCCAACAGCAAAGATCTCACCGATCTGGACAAAAGGTGTCTGTGGGACAACCCGTAAGAAGATGCCTCTCAAATAGAGTCCTTCTGGGGTCAAACCCTTTCGGATTCCTTCCAGCAGCAAAAGGTAATGGGTTATACTTCTTAAAATCTTTTATCTCTACTTAAAAGACTTTCAGTGTATTAGGTTTGCATGTAAAAGAGAGAGAAGGAGTGAGGGACCCATCTGTTAGGAAAGAAGATAAATGAATACTCTCTCAAGATATATATATATTAAAAGCATGCATTAAAATATCAGTTTCCTGAATTGGGGAGGAGGCAAGGTTATAAGCCTGTTATACCAGATAATTGATTGCAGTGGTAGGTTTTAATTCAGGCAGCAAGGTGGGAGGGCAAGCTGGCTTCGTCTTCAAAACCTCTTGAAATCATATTGCATATTGATCTGTTTTTCCTGAAGTTCTTCTGAGAAAATCAGAGTTGATGGCTAAGCCTTTTTTAATTTTAGCCCTACACCATTGTTTTCTCACTCTTGCACTTTTAGTCTCATTCTTGAATTTACACAAACCTCTCTCTCTCTACACACACACACACACACACACACACACACACACACACACACACACCCTTGGATAATTTGCTTAGAAAAGTTAATGTTCACTCTCTTTGGGGAGCCTAACAAATTTGCTCATCCAGAACTTTGAATTAGAGAATTTAATGAAGTTTCTTTGCTGAAAGGAATGCTTGTCACTCAATGTCTGAAGCTCTGCTTTATGGGGAAAGCTTCAGTAGAAAATTGGATCAGGAAATAAAGATCCCTTTAAATTCTGCAATTTTTTTTAAAAAAAAAAGCTATTTAGGGTTTCAGATTCAGGCATTTAATACTTTGCTGACCTGAAATCTGAACAGAAGTCCAATGTGCTCCAATGCACTTTATTAAGACACTGGGAATCTAAGAGCTTTGGTTAACTTTATTGGTAATCTTGATTTTTCCCCCCCTTCTTTTTATCCTCACAACAATCTTCTGTGGCGGCATGTTAGGTTAAGAAAAGTGCAGCAGTGAGCATTTCCTGGAATGCCAGTGGTCGTTTTCTGAGGCTAAACCATACATGGGATAGGACAATAATATGGACAAGATCAGCAAATAATAAATGAGCATTAGAATACAGAGGTCATTGGCATTTATTTATTGGTTCAATTTATATGCTGCCCTTCTCCGGAGACTCAGGGCGGCTTACAATGCATTAAGTAATAGCCTTCATACTTTTGTATATACCTGCTTAGTAGGGCTTTCGGCCCCCCCAAGCGGTGTTCTTTTTTATACAAAGTCATCTTATTGCCCCCACAATCTGGGTCCTCATTTTACCTACCTCGAAAGGAGAGAAGGCTGAGTCAACCTTGCGCCTGGTGAGATTTGAACTTGCAGTAATTGCAGGCAGCTGGTGCTATTTAACAGTACTTTAACAGTACTGTTATTTATTTTTGGGTTATGTCTAGTCTAGTGAAAAGAAGGACTATGAAGTGACATGACAGCAGTGTTCTAGTATTTGGGGGGCTTTCACAAACAAGAGTGGGTCAACTTATTTTCCAAAGCACCAGAGGGCAGAACAAGAAACAATAGATGGAAACTAATCAAGGAGAGAAGCAACCCAGAACTAAGGAGAAAAGTCTTGACAGTAAGAATAATTAATCAGTGGAACAGCTAACCTTCAGAAGTTGTGGGTGCTTCACCACTGGAAGTTTTTAAGAGGAGACTGGACAACCATTTGTCTGAAATGGTACTGACTCTTCTGCTCGTGTAGAGATTTGGACTAGATGACCTCCAAGGTCCCTTCCAACTCTGTTATTCTATGTTATGTTATTCTATGTTTTATTAAAGAAGTATCAGTCATGTGCTTATTCTCAATATATTTAGCCTTGTTTCTTCCCTTAAATTAAAAGTATGATTTGACCGCAAATTTTAGGGGAAGTAGATTCTTAAATGCTATTTTCTCCTCTTCGTAATTATTTCCATCTTTTAATCTCTTTCCTTAAATTTAGAAGTGTCCAATAGACACTTATTAGGCTTGGGCTTTTGGATTGTAATAATTGCTCCACTTGAACTCCAGGTGAACCATCTTCCTATCGGGCCCTCTAATTTTCAAAACTAAATTTCCACCAAAACATGCTGTAGCAATAATAGTCTTTAAGGATGAGACATGAGCCTCTTTTTCAGGACATTCAGTCCATATTGTAGTTATAAAATCAGGTAGGACAACAAGCACAACTTTTACATGGCTGAGTGGAGCCCCATTACTTTTAGTGGCTTCGAGCTGGGGAAAAAGGGGTATTAAATGTGATGTCCTACAACTAGCAATAGCAGTTAGACCGCTTCACAGTGCTTTACAGCCCTTTCTCAGCAGTTTACAGAGTCAGAATGTTGTCCCCAACAATCTGGGTCCTCATTTTATCGACCTCAAAAGGATGGAAGGCTGAGTCAAACTTGACCCAGTCAGGATCGAACTGCTGGCAGTCGGCAGAATTAGCCTGCAATACTGCATTCTAACCATTGCGCCACCACAGCTCTTCCAAATACTCATGACTAAGCTGGACGGTTTTGGTTTTTGAGCAAAATGAGGCAGAAATGGGATGGAATGAACTTAAGCTTGGAAAAGGTGAAAACAAAACAAAAAGAAAATTAAGGTGCATCTATGGGTGGTCCCTGATTTACAACTACAATTGGGACAAGAACTTCCTTTGTTAAGCAAGGTGGTTGTTAAGTGAGTTTTGTCCAATCTTGCAATCTTTTTTTTTTTGCTATGGTTATTAAACAAATCATAGCAGTTATTAGATAAATCACACAGTTGTTAAGTGAATTTGGCTTCCCCTATTGACATTGCTTGTGGGATGCTTAGAACAGAACAGAATAACAGACTTGGAAGGAACCTTGGAGGACTTCTAGTCCAACCCACTGCTCAAGCAGGAGATCCTATACCAGAGGTGGGCAACTATGGCCCTTTTATGACTTGTGGACTTCAATTCCCAGAATTCCTGAGCTAACATGGCTGGCTCAGGAATTCTGGGAGTTGAAGTCCACAAGTCATAAAAGGGCCATAGTTGCCCATCCCTGTCCTATACCATTTCAGACAAATGGCGGTTCAGTCTCTTCATGAAAACCTCCAGTGATGGAGCACCCACAACTTCTGAAGGCAAGCTGTTCCACTGGTTAGTTGTTCTCACTGTTAGGAAGTTTCTCCTTAGTTTTAGGTTGCTTCTCTCCTTGATTAGTTTCCCTCCATGGTTTCTTGTCCTGCCCTCTGATGCTTTGGAAAATAGGTTGGCCCCCTCTTCTTTGTGGCAGCCCCTCAAATATTGGAAGGCTACTTTCATGTAACCCCTAGTGACATGGTGGGGAATATCACAAAATCTATCTATCTATCTATCTATCTATCTATCTATCTATCTATCTATCTATCTATCTATTCTCCCATTTTACCACACAATAAGTCTGAGTGACTTACAATTAAAAGATAAACTGTATAAAACCTAATAATTGAAATAAACACAATACTATAAAAAAATGAACCCAGCTAAAAAGATGGGGAGGGAGGAAGTATGATGCCAAGGGAAGATGGGATCTGTTGTTAACCAACCCCCATCAACTACCCTGTTGTAACTCCAAGTCAACTCACAGAGCCAAGTATTTAACCTCTTATATAAAAAAGGAGAATTGGAGCTGACCTTACTATGGGGTGTGTGTGTGCGTGTAGGATGTTCCAAATGGCTATCACATAACCCTGGGATGTTGCAACCATCATAAACAAATTTTGATTACGTGATTGTGAGGATGCTGCAACAGTCATAAGTGCAAAGGCCAGTCGTAAGTCACTTTTTTCAGTGCTGTTGTAACTTCAAATGGTCACTAAACTAATGGTTATAAGGCGAGGACTATCTGTATTTCATTAGCTCTGTCCCATGATCAAAAAGCCAGCAAAACAAAAAGTTGAAAAAGACAATCTCGGGTACCCTGAAATTAAGGCGAAAAAGCAGAAGCTGCTTTTAAGGTGTAGAGAAGGGAACATTTTTGGCAAAATGGCAAGGGAAATTTTATTACACGACATTTCATTGCCCAAGTGACAGCAACAGAAGTCGTCTTCACATGGTCCCTTTAGCCTTGAGAGAGAGAGGTTTTTGTCTATCTAAACCAGGTCTCCAAATTTGGCAATGTTAAGACTTGTGGACTTCAATTCCCAGAATTCCTCATCCAGCCATTCTGGCAATAAGGCCAAGCGCTTATTTCAGGATTCAAAAAATTATAAAGCAGGGTCTTCTTTTCAGGGAAACACAGTACCAGAATGGGACAGCTTTGAAGGAAAACAATGGGAATCACTTAGCTCCATTCCAATGATTCACAAATATCTCATTATCCATGCAATAATTCTATATTATTTTTACAATACAGATTGTTGTCAGGCTCAGAGCATCAGGCAAAGAAAGCCTTAACATTAAACTCAGAATTTTTACAATATAGTACTGATTTTGATTTATGATGTTAATGCTGAAAGAAGGCAGAGCTACAACTAGAACAACAAAAGTTTATTAAGTAGCCAACTGGAATTCACAGCAATTGTGAAGCAGTCCATTGGAGAACCACTGCAGAACACGTTAATTGAAAAGTCTCTTAATTAACTCATGTTGCTCAGATTAGAGATAAAATACAGTACAAAGGTTTGAAATTAGATTTTGAAAAAAGCATCACTGTGGTTGCTCACTCTGAACTTAACTGATGCTTACTTTTCCGATGAAGACCAAAGATTCTGATCAAAACCAGCTCAATACGGGTATTGACTAAGCCTTCTGTGGATATATCATTAGTTGTGCAATGCTGTTGACTGAAAAGCCCTTGCAAATCTCAGATGTGTGTTTTTCTTTCAAGAGAGAAATGATTGATGATGATGATGATAGTGATGGTGATGATCTGGGTCTTCTATTTCACAGAGCAAGCAAAGCCTTGGGAGAAGATGACTGTCCATGAAAAGAGCTTTCCAACGCAACTTGAAGATTTATAGCATCTCCGAGAATTTACTTCATACTCCAATGCATGAATCCAACAAGGACCCCTTTCTTGGACTGTGTAAAAAAAGTAGCAATGTGTTTATGAGTGAACGGAGGAGAATGGACAAGGCCTGACTAAGCAATGACTGAACTTGTTTTCAGACACCATGGAAATCTTACTGGCCGTGCTCACCCACACCCAACATTGGCTACAGAAGCAGCAATCGCAGATAAGTATTCTAACCTGTATATGTACGTGGGGCTGTTCCTGACCCTGCTAGCCATCTTGCTCATTCTTCTGTTCACAATGCTTCTCCGCTTAAAGCATGTTATATCTCCCATCACCACATCTCCAGAGAGAACGGAGAACACCCAGGAATTCACAGATGTGGAAATGCATACCAGGATTCCCAGCCCTTAAAAAATGGGACACAACGGGCTGCACAGAAACATTGAAGATGCATCTTTTGGTTCACTGGATGAAATGTGGGAACATTGTCCACTGTTGGACCAGCTGAAAACGGTCCAGGCAAATAAGGTTTCAGGACAGCTAAAGGCTGCAATGGACAGGAGCAGGACCCTGGGGAACAATTATGGAGGCATACAATAGATACAGGTTTATAGATTGAGGACCATGGATAGCAACCAAAGAATACATTCCTTGATCCAAAGCCTTGCCCAAAGCAATTTATAGATTTTAATAGTCTGTCTTAGATTTATTTTAGCAGCTCTGCCTCTTCAAGGCTTGTCTCATATTTTCAAAAGATCATCACTATCATCTTCAGTTGGGAGAGAGGGCCTATAGTTTTGCATTTGGAACTGCACTATTAGTTAGAAGGATAGTGATCTTGTTGAATAAAGTTGCTTTTCAGAATATTCTGGAGGCCTAGGTCAATATAAAATTGTCCTCCAGGCTCCCAATGCAGCAGGACTGCTTTGGGATTCATGGAAGGAGTCATAGGATGTGGCAAATCAAACCTAAAAAAAGATGGAATATTACATTTCTACCATGTTTTGCTTATCCTTAGGAGTTGCACAGGCACCTGTTGTGATGTTTCATGCAACCAGCTGTCATGCATGCAAATATATGCAAACTGGTAAGATACATTTACATAATATTAAAAAACAACCCAATACTCACCATTTTCATTGATTTCAAAGTGAAAGTCTGGGGCAGTTTATACTGGATATGTTTCTTTGGTGAATTTCTGGATAAACATTTATTACAAGATTATAATTTCTGGATGATGGAATTCCTGCTGAAGCTTGTCTCAGATGTGTCTTTTAGTGCATGATACAAGTGCTAATGACAATTGATGCATAGTTAGTTCTTCGGAGAGGTGGGGGGTGCCACAAACAAGGAAAGCAAATTCTGACTACTTTTGCCCTATGGGATTTACAAATTTGGGTTGCAAAATGAAGACCTGCTTTCCAGTCAAAGGATTCTGGTCCAAACATATAATTACCATACCCAAATAGTTTCTGCTGCCACATCAAAATGCAGGAGCCAAGTCCATTTTGGAAAGTGTGGATTATTCCGGTTTAATAAACAGATTCTGCAAGATTGATGTATAAGCATCTGGATGAATGCTAGTATCAGGATTGGAATGAAGATTCCATATATGTAGTTGAAATAGATTTTAGTAGACACTGATTTCCCAACTGGAGAAACTCCAGCTGGTCCCTATTTAATTGTATTGATTTCCCCACAGGAAATCAAAAATGAAAAGAAAAAAGTAATAAATACAGATAATAAAGTTAAACCAATTAAAGGTAACAAAGTCAAGTCAAACTTATCATTAAATCTAGAACTAAAAGAAACATATTGATCCATTTTCTCATTTTTAGAGTATAGATACTTTAAAAAACAGAGAATAAACTCATAAGAGCCTTGATAGTACAGTGGTCTACGCACCCTGTTATTAACACAGCTGCCTGCAATTTCTGCTGGTTCGAATCTCTCCAAGGCTCAAGGTTGACTCAGCCTTCCATCCTTTCTAAGGTAGGTGAAATGAGGACCCAGTTTGTGGGGGCAATAAGCTGACTTTGTATAAATATACAAAAGAATGAAGGCTATTGCTTAACGCATTGTAAGCCGCCCTGAGTCTCTGGAGAAGGGCAGCATATAAATCAAATAAAAAAAAAAATGAGTGAAATTTCTTTATGGTTATGTAAAATTATCCTCTTGGCCTTACCTGAGGCTCATAGAGCCAAAGATTTTCACGAGATAACTAACTCCATATTGCAGGAACATATAAGGATAACATTTCTTCCTGAAACTGTATTTAGAGATATAGTGTAACCAAAATGAAGTTATAGCTGGACAAGATCAGATTATATGACCTTCAGAATTCTTACAGCACCAACATGACAAATTCAACGTCCATCGTTTGCAACAATACAAAAAATGTTTACTGCTGCCTTATCTGGGGAATTTTGTTTCAACATTTAAGATTGAAGAACAGACATGGGATTTTCAGGTGGTATCCCATCCATGTCCAATCTTGCTTAGCTTTTGGAGATCATCCAAGAATGAATAAGTGTGGTAAAGATGATGGCCAAATATATGATTGCAGAAGGTGGACAAGAATCTTCAGCAAAGCATATTAATTTGGGGGATGAATAGAAAGTGAATTTTGATGAGAGGGCAGAAAAAATGCAACCCAACAAATACAACTTTGAGAAGAGGGGTATTTTTTTGTCTTTGGTGACTTCAATCAGTCTTGACTTTGATGACTTCCTGGACAAGTCCTTGTAGTTGTTTTGCAATATTTCTGGAAGCTGTTTGCCATTGCTTCCTTCCTATGGCTGAGAGAAAGTGACTAGCTCAAGGTCACCCAGATTGGCTTTGTGCCTAAGGCAGGACAAGATCTCATGGTCTCCTGGTTTTTAATCTGGTAACCTTAAATTCAACAACAAACTACCTCTTACTCTGCCTTTGAGTTAGTCTAGATTCCTAGTAACTACGTGAACAAGTCTGCAGTTTTCTTGAAAAGATTTTCAAAATCTTGTGCCTCCTCCTTAGGGCTGAGAGAGAGTGATTGGCCCAAAGACACTCAACTAGCTTCTTATGAAAATTCAAATTCTAATGACCAGTCTAATGCCATTAGCCACTACATCAAAATAGCTATCTTCAAGTTTAGTAGACAGTAAATTCTCTTGTCATCTTAACTGCTAGGTTGCACTTTCATTATGCACCAATATAAACTATGATGCTGGCAACATTACAGAAAACCTATACAGATCAAGCAAGGATTTGGTTTGAGAATATGAGGGATAAGATGCTTAAAGAGATGTTTAAAGAGAGATCCAACCTAGAAGAAGAAATTTTCTGACAGTGAAAACAATTAATCAGTGGAATAGCTTGCCTCCAGAAGTTGTAGGTGCTCCATCACTGGAAGTTTTCAAAAATTAACTGGACAGCCATTTGACTGGGATGATATTACATCTCCTGCCTTGAGCAGGGGGATGGACTAGAAGACCTCTGAGGTCCTTTCTAGTCCTACGATTCCAGAAAAATAGTAAACCCAACAACGAGCAATATCTCTACTTAGAGAATTATAGTTTTCTCCAGTCCATATATAGTTGGATATATACAGAATTCAGTAGAACGATGAAAAACGTTGATGAAGCCTTTTGTTGACCTCACCAGCCTTGTACAGATAGTCCTTGATTTATAATCACAAATGAGCCTAGCATTTTCACTGCCAAGCGAGGCAGTTGTTAAGTGAATTTTGCCCCATTTTATGACCTTTCTTGCCACAGTTGTTAAGTGAATCATTGCAGTTGTAAAGTTAGTAATACTCATGAAGTTAAACTGGCTATTCCATTGACTTTGCTTGTCAGAGGGTTGCAACATGACCCCAAGACAGTGCAACCATCATAAATACGAGTCAGCTGTCAAGTGTCTGAATTTTGATCACATCACCATGAGGATTCTGCAACGGTTGTGAGTGTGAAAAACTTAAGACTCAAGAAAAAAGAGCCGTGATAGTACAGTGGTCTAAGCACCCTGTTATTAACACAGCTGCCTGCAATTTACTGCTGGTTCAAATCTCTCCAAGGCTCAAGGTTGACTCAGCCTTCCATCCTTTCTAAGGTAGGTGAAATGAGGACCCAGTTTGTGGGGGCAATAAGCTGACTTTGTATAAAAATATACAAAAGTATGAAGGCTATTGCTTAACGCATTGTAAGCCGCCCTGAGTCTCCGGAGAAGGGCGGCATATAAATCAAATAAAAAAAAAAAAAAGACATAAGTCACTTTTTTCAGTGCCGTCAAAAAATGACTAAACAAACTGTTGCAAGTCAAGGAGTTCCTGTACTTTCTCAGAAGGAGATCACTTCATAGCAAACTGCAGTAGGCATATAACTTATCAGGGATGTAGGTCTGGTCTAGAAATAAACTGCCAGGGGAGCTCCTGCTATAGAACATTTATCTGCCAGCATCCCTATCTCTGTTGACTTCGAAATTCCCCAATCCAATCCATGCTAAAATTAGTAACCACACATGTCTCAGCTGTTGTAACAATAACATATTTCTCCAATGTGTCAAAAACAGTGGTGTATTTTGTTAGCAGATACACTGTATTTTTTTCTTCTTTAATTCAGGGCATTGCTTCTCCTGTGGGAGTTTGGGCTAATTTGTGTAAGGGGTGGGGGTGGGAAATGAAGATGTAATAATATAACCGTTCTTCATCTGGGGTTGCAGCAGTTGAATAATAGAATAACAGAAGAGTTGGAAGGAACCTTGGAGGTCTTCTAGTCCAACCCCCTGCTCAAACAGGAATCCCTTTATCATTATTTTGGTAAGTTCCTTCAAATTGAGAACCTGACCTAACAACCCCACCCAGCATACCTAATGCTAAAGGTTGTGAAAGTATAAAGGGCAGGATGTTTAATCTCGAAGAACAGGAGGAAAAGCCACAATCAAGACAACTGTTAAATAAGAGAAATTGGAGTCTGGACGAGAAATGTAATAATTTCTCGTCCAATAATTTCACCTCCCTAGTTCTCATAAAGATTAAGGAGAAGGGAGCACAATCAGCCTTGTAAAATTCTGCTACAGGTAGTCCTTAACATATAATTGCAATTGAACCTGTAATACACTTGTCAAGAAACCTTTATTTACCAACATTTTCCTTGATGTAAGTTCTTGCATTTACCTTATATCCCTGGTTTTCTACTGAGCCTCCAAAAATGTCCGTTCTTGAAATTCAAATTTTGAAATTTGTTGGTGAGTTTCCTAAACTGCCTCTTCCATTAAGAACGCAATTTCTTCTTCCACATGTCTTATGAACACCCATGAATGATACCCAAGTAAAATTCATATCTGCAATGAGACTAGCAACTTTTTTTTTTTTTAAAAGACTTTCCTTTCAGTTGTTTAGTGCAGGGATGCAATAATATACTGGACTAAAAACCCAGCTTGGTTCAGACACCAGGCAGAAGTGGGTGAGATTGAGTCATCAGCATCCTGTCAACCCTGAAGCTGACCTGACCAGAGCCATATTGGAGCTCCAGTGTTGCAATATTGTGTTGTGACTCAGAAGGGGCTTATATCAGAAGTTGCAATGCCAGTTTTCTCATTCTGAACCTCCCTTTGCCTCTGCTGGCTGCTGGAGTGAAAGAAAACTGAATTTGTGTTGACCTTATTTCTATTTCAATGTCATCAAAGTGCAGGTAGTCCTCACTTAATGACAGGATACTTAGTGACTGTTCCAACAGACCTCCCCATTATTATTTATAACCTGAATTCAAAGTCCTGACAGCTGGGGCCCCTCACTCCGCAGTCATACCAATTGCCACTGATTATGTCCTGGCAATTTTTTTTTCATCTCACATTTTCACCAAAGGCAAAATTAATGGATCTTTTTGAAATGCAGCAGGCAAATCCCAACAACCTTGAGCTCATTGAGGGACGGAAAGTCATAAGGGAGGTCAAATCAGGCAATCTTCTTGTGATCATGTGAGCTGATCTTGCATGTGGGTGAATGATAGGGGGGCTTGGGACTGCAGAGGGAGTTTACAAGCATATTACATCTTTGCTAAGCATGCTGGGAAACCGTTTTACAATTGGCATTCAAGATTTTTAGAATTACCTGAGGGGGGTTGTCTTTTATAGGATGCTGGCATTTTTCAGCACACAATTCACATCATAATTAAGACAAAACGGTGGCTTAAACCCCTGGCGGAGAGTAAACACCATAATTGGTGTTCATTTGAAACATGCAAATCCACCGGGATCACAAACCAGTTCTCTTAACTACAGCAGCTTTCGGAGAAGAGACCAAAACAGGCAAAAATGCTGTTTAGATGATCAGTCAAATCATCCTCTTCCAATATGGTATCTTCATAATTTAGGGAGCTACAACACACACCATCCTAGGAAAATAATCTATATATATATAAGCGAAATACAACTCATGAATCATCACAAAATCTTCAGAACCGTAAAGCCTACAAACTTGAAATTTGCCACCTATGTTTCTCTTGGCTTCTAGGTGCTCACTAAGAAAGGATTTTTCGAAATGACCATCAGAGCATTAGTATTTCTTATATTATTATTAACATGCTCTGATGCTAAGGAGTTCTACTCCCCCTTCGCACCTGAAAAGAAAACTGTTCCAAATGCAAAACACAAGCAGAGGAGAGGAGTTTCAGTTTCAGTTTTATTTTCACAGAAGCAAGCAGGACATAGAAGGGAATAGGATAAGGGAGGCTTCTGTGGGGCAAGGCTGAGGGAGAGAAGGGGATAGGATAGGAGACATTTCTGTGGGGCAAGGCTGAGGGAGAGAAGGGGAGAGGAGAGGCCGATTATAACTACTCATTAATTTTCAAGCTGTGTCGATTTATTAAGCCCGATCACATAGTTTCGTAGTGGAGCACAGATATTCAGCTAGTAATATATAATATATAATATGATATGATAAAAGATGTTAAAACTCTAGAAAGAGTACAGAGAAGAGCAACAAGGATGATTAGGATACTGGAGGCTAAACCATGTGATGAATGGTTGCTGGAATTGGGTATGTCTAACTTAATGAGAAAAAAAAGGACTAGGGATATGATAGCAGTGTTCCAATATCTGAGAAGCTGCTACAAAAAAGATGGAGTCAACCTTTTCTCCAAACCCACTTTGTTTTTCCAAAACAACTCCAACCAAGTACTCGCAGATGAAAGCTTTATCAAAGAGAGATCCAAGCTAGAAATAAGGAGAAATTTCTTGATAGTGAGATTAATCAGCGGAATGTTTTGCCAGCAGAAGTTGTGGGTGCTCCATCACTGGAGGTTTTAAGAGATTGGACAACCATTTGTCTAGAATGGTATAGGGTCTCTTGTCTTGGGCAGAGGGTAGGATTAGATCACCTCCAAGGTCCCTTTCACCTCTACTAGTCTATATTCTGTAGATAATGACATGACTTTCAGTTTATATTGGCTGGGTACCCTTGGAAAGGATTGTCGAACCTGAAGTTTTTGTTATGTCGAAGTGTCATGTTCATTGAGCCTTCTATTTTTTATTTTGCCTGTGAATGTCAGAAGCTGCACAAGCTACCATGTTTCCCTGAAAATAAAACCCAGTCTTATTTTCTTTTGGGCTCCGAAATAAGCACTGGGACTTATTTTCGGGGGTCTTAATTTTTTTCAGCGCCACCTCCATGAGGTGGGTTGTGGTGGAGCTGCCCGACACACAGACCGGTTTACCTCAGGGCCTCATGGGTCCACGCCCTGACAACTGCCTGGTGGCGGCAGCACCAGCAACCATGTGTAACAGGAGCCCATGTGGCCACCGGCTCACTTCTTCCAGCACCACTGCGGCACCGGAGCAGGAGGTCAAGTGACACTGCCAGGCAAAACACTCCGTTCCCAAGCAATCCATAGGTGCCCAAATACTTTTCACCCAGACGGAAAAATGAGGGAGACTGAAAGCTTTATCTGCTTGCAAATGGGACACTTTGAAATGGAATGTCCCACTTGCAAGCAGACGAAGTTTCATCTCCCTCTGGGCGAAAAGTGTGTGGTGGACCCTGTCTCCCCACCCCTCTGCGCTCGGACTTACAGGTATCTGCACTGGGCCAAGGGTCCAGCAGGCCATGCCCATCCCCTGGGCTTATTTTTGGGGTAGGTCTTATATTAGGCCCACCCCAAAAAAACCAGGCTAGGGCTTGTTTTCAGGGTGGGTCTTATTTTCGGGGAAACACTGTAGTAATCATCTGGAATGCTGAGTTTGAAGCATGACGGAATAAAACATGAAGGGGGCCATAAGGAAAAAATAGAACACATTCCTTACTTACAAATGGGAAAGATTTTCCCAATCCTCCTCCTTTGCACAATTTATAGCATTAACAACGGTCATATTTAAATTTTGGGAAGGAGTTTGGTCTCCTTTCATGTCCTTTTTTCAGAGGCAAATCTGTTCCCAAATGAAGTACTTCTATGCACCTGTCTGCAATTACTAGTTTACAACTGTGCCTATGGCATTCAGAGGTATCTTTGATAACAATGATGATGCTGGTGGCTTGGCTTGGTGGCACCCCTTCAATTATGACAAAAATAATCAGGTGGGGGTTAAAAAATGTGGGGTAAAAATCTTACTGCTGCCAAGGGAAGCATCCTATTGCAGATACCCTATTGGGGAGTTGTAAATATGATGAATTGACTTCCTTAGAGGTGGGAGAAGATTTTGTCGATGATGATGAAAAGGACCATATATGGAAAGACACCTACTTTGCTGGAACCTGTCAAAGATCCCATGTGAAACCTAATTTATTCTTTTTTTTATTTGTATACTTCCAGGAGACTACAACTTAAACAAACAAACAATTTAATACCCCTTTCAGCTTTGGAAGCCATATTAGGCCGGAAGCTTCCATGCTGCCACCTTCTCATGTGTGGGAAAGTGGGAAACTCCTGGTGCTAAAGAGGGGTCATGATTATCGACTAGGGGGCCACTTTGGATTTTTAAAAACCCTCCATTTGACTAGGAGACAATTCTGTTGGCCAAGAATGAAAGCTGATGTAGAAGACTATGTGAAAAGCTGTGCCACCTGCGCCACCATGAATTCCAGACCAGGGCAGCCCCCTGGGCTTCTCCAGACCATGGCCAAACCCACCAAACCGTGGAAGGAGATTGCAAAGGACTTCATAGTCGAACTCCCTGACAGCGGAGGGAACAAGGTGGTTTGGACCATCATTGATTTATTCTCCAAACAAGCACTTCGCTGCCTGCAACGGACTACCCTCGGCCAAGAAGCTGGCAAAGCTTTTCGTGAAGAATATCTTCAGACTACATGGGATTCCAAGGAGAATAATATAAGATCGCGGGGTCCAGTTTACTGCTAAGTTCTGGAAGGAGTTCCTGTGGTCCATTGGGTCATCCCAGGGGCTTAGCTCAGTTTTCCACCCTTTGACTAACGGATCGGCTGAAAATTGAACTCAATGGTGGAACAATACATTAGATGTTATGTAAATTATCAACAAGAAAACTAGGCAGACTTATTACCATTCGCAGAGGTGGCTTATAATAATGCAGTACACAGCAGTACTGGGTTGACTCTTTTCCAGATAACTACGGGCATGGATTTTGTGTCGATGCCTGAATTGCCTAGAGAGCCACCCACTTCTATGTCCCTAATAGAATGGATGATCTCATTGAAAAAGGGTTGGGAGAATACTAAGAAAGCTTTAGCTGAATCAGCGGAAAAATATAAGGCCCAGGCTGACAAACGCCGGTCTCTCCAACTAACTTTCCGAATAGGAGATAAGGTGTATTTGTCAACCAAGTACCTAAGATTGAGGTTACCTAGCAAGAAGTTTAGACCCAAATTCATAGATACCTTCCCTATAGTGAAAATATGGTAGTTATGGGAGCAGCATGGCACTCCCATGTGGCTCCCCTCCTGCGCAAGCTGCACTGGCTCCCTGTGGTCTTCCGGGTGCGCTTCAAGGTCTTAGTTACCATCTTTAGAGCGCTCCATGGCGTAGGACCGGGGTACTTACGAGACCGCCTTCTGCCACCAATAGCTTCTCACCGCCCAGTACGCTCCCATAGAGAGGGGCTTCTCAGGGTGCCATCAGCCAAACAATGTCGACTGGCGGCCCCCAGGGGGAGAACCTTTTCTGTGAGGGCACCCACCATCTGGAACGAGCTCCCCCCAGAGATACAGAAGATTCCGGATCTGCGCACTTTCCGCCATGCC